CTGGGCACCTTCACCTCCCCCAGCATTGAATGAACACAGAGGGATGGGAGGCTCCCCAAAAAGGGGAGGCCGCAGCCCCCCTGCTTCCCTCCCACCCTCCCTGCAGCTTCTCCGTTCCCCTGTTGCAGTGAGGCTGGACAAGCTCTCGGAGGTTGCCAAGGTGAACACGGATGCCATCCGCTTGGCCCAGGAGGAGATCTCCGAGTACCGCCGCCAGCTCCAGTCCAAGACCACCGAGCTCGAAGCCCTCAAAGGGACCCAGGAGTCACTGGAGAGGCAGAGACAGGACTCTGAAGAGCGCCATCATGCAGACGTCCTGTCCTACCAGGTAACGTGCCGCAGTGGGCAGTGTCCCAGCCCTGTCCTTTGGTGGGGAGGGACCATCCAGTTGCTAAGGAGGAGCAGCACTGGTGCTTCGGCTTCAGAGATGGGGATGACCAGCCGTAAATGACACAGGGGCCTTCCCCAGCTCCTGGTGATCAGGTACCCAGAGCCTGAGGTTGCATTCAGACTGTTGTGTCCCTCACCCACGTCTCTGCCTGACTTTAAGCTGCCAAAGACACCACTGAACCGTGCCCAGGGACCCAGAGTTGGGAGCTGCTGTGTAATGCGGTGGCCATGGACTGCAACCCTGTCCCCAGGGTGATGCCCCATCAGCCTCAGGCTGGGGTTTGGTGGCCACCAGACTCACCCAAGTCCTAGAAACGTTCCTACAGCTTGTGCCTGCAGGGGACCGGGGGCTCGGCTGGCCGCAGTGCAGCTCAGCTGAGGTGGCATAGAGCTCCTGGCAGCTCCCCAAAGGGACCTGGGCACACTGAAACAGCCTCTGGCCACAGACCTCTCTGTGAGTGCACCCCAGGGGACTGTTTAGGGGTGCTCTGTGTCCCCTTGCTCCTTGGAGCTGGCCCCCCCGTGTTACTACTTGTTCTGTCTGCCCATAGGAAACCATCCAGCAGCTTGACAGTGAGCTGAGGAACGCCAAGTGGGAGATGGCAGCTCAGCTCCGGGAGTACCAGGATCTGCTCAACGTCAAAATGGCCCTGGACATTGAAATTGCTGCCTATAGGTATGGGGTGGGGAAGGTGGGAGGGTCTCAGCCAGCCTCTAGTGACACCTGGGCCCTCCTCTGTGAGAAAGGGACATTTCCATCCCAAGATTGTGGTGGGCAATGTCCAACTGGGAGGCCCAGCACAGAGCATGGCTTGCAGAGGGAAGGGTGAGGAAATCTGCACATCCAGGGTGAAGGAGCAGGAAGGAGCAGCCAACATCTCAAAAAGCTGGGCAAGGAGGGAGATGGAGGTGCAGGGCATGGCTGGAAGCTTCTGGTCATGGGAGGAGGTGAGAAGCAATCACTGACTGCCCTGCCCTGGTCTCTTCCTGACAGAAAGCTCTTGGAAGGGGAGGAATATCGGATCGAGTCTGGCTTTGGGATGATCTCCTTCCCTGAGGTGGTCCCCAAGGCTCCCAGCATCACCACCGACATCAAGGTGAAGAGTGAGGAGAAGATCAAGGTGGTGGAAAAGTCAGAGAAGGAGACAGTGATTGTGGAGGAGCAGACAGAGGAAATCCAGGTGACTGAGGAGGTCACAGAGGAGGATGAGGCTGAGAAAGAGGCTGAAGAGGAGAAAGCTGAAGCAGAGGGTGAAGAAGAGGAGGCCAAGTCTCCTGCAAAAGAGGAGGCCAAGTCCCCAGAGAAACCTGAGTCCCCCTCAAAAGAGGAGGCCAAAACCCCCGCTGTCAAGTCCCCTGAAAAGCCCCCGACCCCCTCAAAAGAGGAGGCCAAGAGCCCAGTGGTGAAGTCTCCAGAGAAACCTTCACCCCCCTCAAAAGAGGAGGCCAAGACCCCAACTGTCAAATCCCCAGAGAAGCCCCCAACCCCCTCAAAGGAGGAGGCCAAGAGCCCAGTGGTGAAGTCTCCAGAGAAACCCCCGACCCCCTCAAAGGAGGAGGCCAAGAGCCCAG